TCTTCTTTCAATCTTGTGTTTGTCATGCTCCCTTTGACCACAGGGCCTTTGCACATACTGTTTCCACTGTCTGCAATACTCTCGCCTCCCTCTTCAGTAATTACTACATTTAGATGTAAGGCTCATTCTTCCTAGAAAATCTTTCATCTTCCTAAATAGGTAAAATCCCTCCCAGTATAGGCTTTTTTAGTAGGAGGAACTTATTTGATAGCACTTAGTGTTATTTGTGTAATTGTTGGCTTAATGTTTCTCTTCTCCTAGACCAGGGGTCAGCAAACTATAGCCAGCTTTGGCCTGCAGCCTGTTTTTGTCAATAGAGTTTTATTGAAACTCAGCCACTTAATGACATATTATTTGTGGCCGCTTTTGGACCACAGCGGCAGAGTTGAGTAGTTGCCGCAGACTTTATGGCTCACAAAGCCTGAATAATTACTCTGGCCCTTTGCAGAAAAAATTTGCCAATTCCTGTACTTGACTATATTCTCCGTGAGAGCAGGTACAGGTCTGTTTTTGCTTACGTATCTTCACCTAGCACAGTGTGTGCTCCATGGAAGATGCACCGTAAATACAAAAATATTAGTAAATGCAAGAAGATGTTTTCAATGCCTATTTTACTGGAGTGTGGAAAGGGTTAAATAAGATACTATATGTAAAGAACCCAGCAATAGTGTGCCTGAAACACAGCAGCTGGTTGATAAATGGTGGCAGTTATTATTATTCTCAGTCTTTCCTTAGTACATTTTAGTCTTCTCTCTGGGTCTGGACCTCAGCTGTCCCCTGGCCCCAGGCTGAGTTGTGTTCCTGTCCTTCACCTGTCCTATATCTCTTGTCCTCAGGCCTTTGCTTCATGCATGAGAAAAGCATTTCTGTTTACATCCCCAGGATTCTTAGCAACGTCTTCACTCTAGAGATTTCTTTCTAGGATGTTCAGTCTGAAGCATATTATTCTCAAACCTTGTCATAGCCTTAGGGTGACCCTCCTTTAACCTGTCCCCTGGGGCTTAGTTTCACCAGGGTCATCTAACTGATAGGACTTTCATCTTATTTTATGGCCACCTCCTTCAGGGACAGCAGACAATTTCTTCTCTTCTAGTTTGGCAGGAGAAGCTATAGGAGTGGAGGTTTGGGAGCTGAACCTTTGTGGTTTCAAGGTAGAAAGCTGTTCAGCCTGGACACAGGCCCACCTGGTGCAGGACCCAAAGGGAGGGGGTTTAGTAAAACCGGAGGTCAGCAAACTGTAACCTATGAGCCAAATCCAGCCCACCTCCCATTTTTCTGTGCCTCTCACGCTAAGAAGGATTTTTACCTTTTTAAATGGCTGGGGGGAAAATATCAAAAGAAGAATAATATTTTGTGATGCATGAAAACTATATGAAATTCAAATTTCAGTGCCCATAAATAAAGTCTTGCTGGAACACAGCTGTGCTCATTCAGTTACTTCTATAGCTGCTTTCACGTCACAACAGCAGAGTTGAGTAGATGGCATCACAGACAGTAAGCCAAAGATGTTTACTGACTACCCCTTTAGAGAAAAGATTTGCCAACCTCTGAGTTACACTTTTAGCTTGAGCGGTGACAGTGACTTCGATCTGAGCTCATCAGAGCGTGTTCTGTGTTCAGTGTTGCATGGCCTCTACAAACCCACTGGGTCCCATCCCAGGGTGCAGCTCAGGGTGCGGCTGGGAGAGAATGTGTTCATCAGATGGGTTAGTTGGAGGAATCATTCCTGAAGGAGGTGGGAAGGGACGAGATAAGAGAACACAACAGTCTGGTTCAATGCTGGTTTTGCCACTTAAAGCAGTGGGAGCTTGAGCCAGTATCTTACTTTCTCTAAGCAGCAGTTCTCATATTTTAAAATCTGAATAATTATACACTCAAATATATAGTGATGTAGTGAGTACCAAGTAAGCTAATACACACAACAATGCCTGTTGTGCAGTCAGCACTCAATAAATATTCACTCCTGTTACTACGTTTGGCTGGAGGACACCCGTGGAAGAGTTGGCTTTGGAGAGGAGAAAGCCATCTCAACTTAGTGCAGCGCGTAGAACAGAGTGGAAAAAATAGACATTGGAGACAGACAGACCTGGATATGTGTCACTGCTGTGTGATCCTAGGAAAGTTGATTAACTTCTCTGAGCTTCAGCCCCCCATCACCTCCTTTATGTAACTCATATGTCAAGTGGGACCTTCCTACTCTTTGATTTAGGTAACATTTCCTTAATGGAACCACCTGTCACCATCTCAGGTGAAACACATGGAGCTTCTGTTTCATCCTTTGCCAACAAGCCCATTGAGAAAATTCTTTCAGCATTCTCTCTGATTCTTTCATGAATTTAAATTTATTGGAGATTTGAAGTTACACTTCTGAGAGTGGGTCAGATTGTGGCTCACACAGTCTTTTTCTAAACCTCCTGCTCTCCTCTTGCCTCTACCTCCCTTTTTTCTAAAAGAATAAATTTTCTCTATCTCCTAGTAAGCAAAATAGGGATAATTATGACTCTCTCACAAAGTGTTTGTGGGAATTAATCGAGGTAATGTATCTGCCAGCTCCTGGCATGCTGACAGCATCCCCACCCCTCTGGATTCTTTCTTTGGGATTTGAAGAAACAAAGAGAGAATTTGAGAGCGATTTTGAGGTGGGGGTGAGGGTTGATAAAGCAGCCAGGAAGGTCATCTCCTTGACCATTACCCTCCAGTGAAGTTGAAGAAGAGATTATTTGCCAAGAGAAACTGGGAGAGGTGGAGGGACTCGGGGCGGAAGCCAGACAAGTCTGGTTTATCTTGGAGCCCATCCAAAAGGGTTGAGTTAGTAAAACAGCAGTTCCTCTACATAAATCCTTCAGGTTCTTGAAAAATATTATTAAATCACTCCTGCATCATAAATAATCCTAATTTTATTAATCTTGCCTTTCAGGCCAAGGCGCAGCTCGTGCAGGGCCCCCTCTCCCGAGCATGCAGCTGAAAGGGGAAGGTCCCCGGGCAGGGGGGCCGCGCCCGCACTCTGGGCCGAGTGTGTTAGGTGGCCTGCAGTTTAAACTGGCCTTCCCTGATGTGTTCCAAGCGCTGTCAGAGTGGAGCCTTCTTAATCATCTTTCCTGAGGTGTAGGACTCAGAGTGGGAGGCTTACTGGCAAGTTTCTGCGTGCAGAGGCCTGGGAATTCTGTCGCTTGTCTCCTTGGACTTGTCCGATGTCCCGTTTGCATTAGTATTCTTTTTATTTTTAAACCGCAGAGGGTTTTGTTTTGTTTTGTTGTTTTTTACTTCTTCCGAAAGAGCTGATAGATGGCCCTCTTCCATTTTGCTGTGGGCCAAGGATGCTTCTGCCCAGTGTTGTGAAAACAAATGGTTGTGATTAATCAATGCCAAGTTGTATCCTATACCTTAAGAGGCCCTTGCTATCCTCCCTAACTGCCCCTGCCCACCTCTCTCTCTCTCTCTCTCTCTTTCTCTCTCTTGCATTTTTCTAACTGAGAGACTCTCATAGTTTTCCTTTCAAAGCAAGAGTTGAAGAGTTAGCAATACCTGTCGCTATTATGTGGTGGTGTTTGGGGCTAAAAAAAAACACTAGGAGTTCAGCAAGCAGGTTCAGTTCCTGTTAGTCCGCTGTGTGTCTTCTGACAGAGTCTTTACTAAGTGTTTTGGCTTTATGACTAAATGTCTTCCCCAAATATAAAAATAATTTGTGTCTGTGTGTAAAACATGGAGACACCAAAAAGTGCATAGAAATGTAAACAAAAACCGTGTGTTGAGTTCTTTCACCCTCGGATACCCCACTGCTAACAACCTGATGCATTTCCCGGGACTTTTGCTTTCTCTGCGGGTGTGGGTACATAGTTATCAAATGTAGTCCCATTGGACACACAGCTTTGAAGACTGCTTTTCTACTTACATTTATTTCATGAGCATTTTCTCATCAGTAAAAATTCATCAAAAGCAACCTTCTTAATGGCTGTATAGTATTTGTACTGCTTGCTGCCCCTGACTTAATCATTCTCAGATTGTTTCACACGTAGTCTGGGTCCAGTTTTCCACCATGTAAATAATGCTGCAGCAAGCTTCTTTGTACCTTGTCCTTGTATATCTGAAAATTGCCGTGGAAGGTACTCCTAGAAATAGGATTACTGGGAAAATAGAATCCTGGAACCTCACTTAAGTCTTCCCTGACTTTAGTCAGCCCAAGGGGTTTCACCTTGGATCACAAAGTGTTTAGTAACTAAAAAAACAATAGGACTGGCTAATTTTTGCCTATTGGTGGTTTCATGGCATGCAGCTTGGAGACAATATAATAAAACGATGTGTCATAATTATGATTTGGAGATAGTCCAAGGGGATAATAATAATAATAGCTAACATTTATTGGGTGGTTAATATGTGCTAGGCTCTGTTTGAAGTCTTCTACAGATATTAACTCATTTAATCTCACCACAACTCTGGGAAGTGTATGGTCTTATTATCCCCATTTTATAGATGGGAAAGCTGAAGCCACAGAGGCTTTAAACTACAAGGTAAGTGGCTGAGCTAGGATTCAGGTCCAAGCATTTTGGCTAGGAGTCCATGCCCTTACCCACTTGATGACCCTGCCTGGAAATAACCGAGTGGGTAAGATCCACAGCCCCCTCCTCCCCCCACATGCTAAGGCTGAAGTGCAGCTGGAAGGGAGTGGGGAGTCCACTGCGCACTGCTGAGTTACAGCCCTCCTTTCCCCAGCTCTCATTGCCCCATTCACTAGCTGTGCATCTGCCTGGGGGAGGACAGGAGAGAAACCAAGCTGCAAAGTGCCCGGTTCTGTATCTGAAAGGGAAGAGGAATGTATATCAGGGTGGTCTCAGGAAGCTGCTTATTCAGGAAGGGAGGAAAGAAATAAATGAAAATAACACAGCTTCAGGGTTTTGGCTTTTTTGTCTTGTTTTCGGTTTGGGTTTGGGCAATCATGAGCACATTAGGCCTCCCTAATAGAAACAGCATATCCCTGACTGTTTTCACCAATTTGGTTTCAGTGGCTCCCAGTCATCTGCTGGTGCAGCGGCAGAAGTGAGCTGCAGAGTAGGAGATACTGGAGACGCCGGTGACCGTGAATCCTGGAGCAGGTAACTAATCATTTTTGATCCTGTCCACTGCTGAGCGCCTGGGTTACAAATGACCTCCAGGCAACTGTTCAACGTGGATGGTTCTAAAGGTACCTCGTTGTGGAGAGTGCTGCCTAGACTGGAGTTCTGATTAATGGCCCTTTTCTTTTGTCCCACCTCCTTATGCTTCCTTAAAATAACACTGGTGTTACAAAAGACTACACAGGGCATTTCTATTTAGGTGAGGTCAACCAGCGCTGGGGTGAAACAGAACACAGCCACCGCAGCAAAACACAAACACAGAGCAAATCTGTCCTGCTTCACCTGCGCACTGGCCAGGTTCCTCGTAGGGAAACCCAGCCAGAGGAGTTCCCTCTGTTCCCACTGGCTCAGGATTGAAATGTGGAAAATTTCTGAACACCAGCAGTGACCCAGGGCAGAAATGATTCCCCACAACCATTCATGGATGTCGCCGGCAGAGAAATCCTCCTACAGGTGTATGTCTCTGCAGTGGGGGACCCCAAACAGCCAGAAACTTGTTTTCAGTTTCTGCCCTGCCCGGATCTGGCACATAGAGGCATTCAACCAACGTATGCTGCTGAATTGCAGTGGGTTCTACTGAGTTGAAGTGGATAGAATAGTAAGAGGCAGAAATAGAGATGCTTTTTCCTTTTATTTCAAAATAAATTTAATTGCACTAATAATAAAGGTAGTAATGACAGTAAGAGTTACCATCGTTTCCTAGGGGCCAGGCCCTGTTACAAGCAGTCTCTCCTTCCCCAAGGGATAACCTCTATCTGACTTTTAACACCAGAGGTTACTTAGCGAAGGGAAATTTTTAATAGGGGGAACATTATCAAAGTTTACCCAGAGTCCTCAGTTTCCCTGAGTGCCTCTGGAATCTCTAGTTGGCTTAGTTGCAAAAAGAAGCCCTAACAGCTAAAAGGCAGTAAAGTAAGGAGTCAAGTTCACATTAGGAATTAGACCTCAAAAAGCAGAAATGAAATAAAAAAGATTAATCATTGAGTTCGGTCTCCTTGAGGTCTCATCAGCCTGATCTACTTCCTTTGTTGCTATAAGACCCTGCAGTGCCCTTTCACGTAATTGTGAGGATGCAGTGGAGAGGGGTGGGGGCAGGAGACTGGGGTACACCTACCTAAGCCAGTTTGTGAACAAACGAACAAGCAAGTTACGGGGAGTCCATGGTAGTGTTTCATGTACAACTAAAAACATCCAAAATGCCTTCTGCCTTCTAATATTGTGTGTGTGTGTGTGTGTGTATAATATATAAAGAATTATATGAGGTATACTGTTATGTGTAGAAGTCTTGGAGCCCTCCTCCTGAGAATTCTCCCAGGAAGTTGGGGACTGGGAGTGGCAGCCATGCTCGTGCAATGTGGCCCTTCCCCCTGCTGATTGAAGGGACCAGTAGCAGACATTGGACTCAAGACCAGCCAGTTAGAACCTGTCTCCCTGGAATTTATCACTGGAATGAAAGGATGCTAGTTGGCACAGGGTGGTCTCTTAAACCAAGAGTGTACAACTCAAGAGCTGTGTTGCTGCACTATAGGCAGCACAAGCACACAACACCTAACTGTAGAGAGAAGGGAGCAGACGTGGGAGACAGATTAGGGTTATGAAGTAAGAGACCGGAGAAGAAGGCAGAAGGAGATGGAGAGGTGACACTGGAGCAAAGTAGCTGTTTTGGCTTCTGCTGGTTTTTGTTTAGTTCCTAGTCAACCCCTTGTGAGACTCGGCTGTGTCTCTTCTTCTGGGGCACCATTGGCTACTCTTGAATGTTTATACTTCAACCTCCACTGTTTTGATAATGCTAACTTGAAGGGCTTCTGCTCCTTGTTGTTGCAGCAACTATAGCTGTGTAACAAAAACCACCCTCAAAATTTAGTGGCTTAAAATAAAGATACTTATTTTGCTTAAAAATCTGCATTCTGAGTAGGGGTTTAGCATGGACCAGCTTTTTTCCACTACCACTTGGTTTCAGCTGGGGCAGTTTGAAGGCCAGGGGCTGAAATTGTCTAACTCTTACCTGTGCCTGGCCTGGGAAGACTCAAGCAGTGGGGGACTGGAAGAAGTGGGACTATGTGGAAATCTCTCTATCCATGTTTAGTCTCTTTATCATGGTGGCTTCGAGGTAGATGGACTTTCCCCTGGAGGCTCAGGTCCCAGAGACAGAGGGCCAGGTGGAAACCATATTGTCATTTATGACCTAGCTTCCAAAGTCATGCAGTGTTATTTCCACCTCAGCCTGTTACTGGAGGCAGTTACAAAGAAGATCCACCCAAGCTCAGAGGGCCCTTGCCTCTCCATGAAGGAATGTTACCATCACATTGTGAGAACATGTGGCTGGAATGTATATTAATGTGGGCATCTTTAGAAAATAGAATCAGTCATACTTGTAAACAAAAGAACCTTGTTTAACACACAGAATAATCCTTAGAACTCAAAACATATCAGAGTTCCCAGAAAATCATCAGTGTTGTGATGGAGAATATGCTGATTGGTGGATACAATGAGAATTCTTTCTTTTTTTTTTTTCCAATTCTGAATTAATGAACATCAAATTTATCCATAGGTGGTCTCACTGGGTTCTACCCCAGAAGCGGCATTTTCCAGGTGACTTGTCTCTTCAATTCAGGACCATCTTATCTTCTTTTTGCCATGTAATTAGGAGTGGATCAAGTTCAAATCCCTTGCTGTTTGTAGTGAAAGGTTTCTGGTCATTTGGTTTTTAAATGTCATTTGTAAGTACATCCTTTCTTGCTTGGTGAATGAGATTTTCCCTCCAACTGGACTCTTCTCATACTTTTTATAAATAATGATCTAGGTTTTCAGGGTCCAAAATATTCCAGAGCTGTAAAGCAGGCACGGCTGAAAGATGTGTTAACTCCTTCAGGCCTCCAAGGTGCTATTTCAGATCTTATTGCTTCATATTCCATAATGGAAGCTTGAGCCTTATTGATGGCTCTTCTCTTGATTGTGTGTGCAGGGTGAAGGCCAGGATTGAAAGAATTGGTGACCTGGAACAGGAAGCTGAATTAACTCTTTCCACAAGGCTTCAAAGAAGAGATTTTAGTCTTACAAACTCGAAAGCCTAAAAGATACTGAAGCTTCCAGAATAAATCAGTAACTAAGACAGTGTTATTAGATACAGTAATTACTGGAGTGCTAAAATCCTTGTTGATGTTGTCTGAAAATAGGTACATTCTATATTTACTTTATAGCAACATTTCCAATACTGTACTAAAATGAAGTTAACTATAAAAATATGCACATTCTATATGATTACATATAGAAAACTTCAAATTGTCATCTTTTTTATTATTGATAAAGGTCACTTGGGTTTGTGCAAAAATCTTCAATTTATGGGTTTGGCCTGCTATTTGTTATGTGGAATAGAAAGATAAGACCATTGATGGCAAGTTTTAAAAATTCTACCTATCATAAGTAAATATTTATGAATATAGGGGCAGCCTGAATAATAGGTATATTTTGGATTTTGTACAACTGGTAGTCTGATAAATATTTAACAGCCAGCTCTCCAGGGCCAGCATTTGCCAGTTTCTGTAGTGTAAATATTTCCACCATGGCTGATCTCACGCTACTAACATAGCATCACAGAATGCAGAATTGGGAGGAGATATGCTCAGTGGGCTCTTGTGAGCTATATGAGCCAGTCCTGCACACCACTGTTAACAATTTTGGGAAAGCTAGTTGGATGACTCCTGGATAAACCTTGTTATAATACTGAAGGGAAAAAAAAGACAAATTTTAGATGCAGCAGAGATATTTAATGCCATTGAATCTCTGTTTACTCTGCCACATTTCTCATTGACCAAAGGACTGGGAACAGAGATGAAAGTATTTAAAAGTTGGTAAGCAATTCTCCAGCTCTCTCTTCCCTTGCCACTGCACCACTGCAGTAGGGGAGGCACATAGTCCCAGTGATGCAGATACAAGATGGTAGAAACTGTATCAACATGGTTCCATGAATGTCTGTGGCGCTCAAACCCCATATACCAACATTGGATGGATTGCATGCTTCAGTTAGCAATTGATGCCCAACAAGCCATCCCATACAGAATGGCTTAAAGCAACAATTTATTGTTCTGTCTCACATTTCAGTGAGTTGGTTGGGCTCCACTGGGCAGTTCTGCTCTTCTTATTCAGGGTTTCATGTGATTATACTCAAATGGTGGCTGGGGCAGGAGTCCTTGGAAAGCTTGGCTGGTGCTGAACTGAGGATGGCTTCTTTGCTCAGGTCTGGCACCTAAGCACTCCTCCACAGGGAGTCTCATTCTCTAGCCATCTGCACAGGGCCTCTCTTTGCAGTAGGGTGGTCAGCCTTCTTATATCATGAGTGACTTCAATTGCAGAGGCTGTCAAGATCTCCTAAGGATTCTGTTACATTTTCTTGGTTAAAGTGAGTCATGGGATCCCTGTAGACAGAGTGGGAGGTGACTAGACAAGGGTGTGACTACAAGGAGGTAAGAGTCATTGGGAGCCCTCTTTGGAAACTAGCTGCCACATACCACAAGTAAAAAGTAAGCCTTTGTTATGTTAAGCCATTTAGATTTCAGGGTTAATTTGTTCCCTTGGCAAAACCTAATCTGACTAATCCAGAAATTGGTACTGTATTAGTGACGATAAGGTAGACTGTGGTGCAAAAATAAGCCTCCAAATCTTAGCAGCTTAACATATGGGCCTTTGGGGGTCTGATGGCTCTCCAGTGGTGACTCAGGGGTCTCGGTCACCAAGTGATGACTCAGGCCACTTGCATTTTGTTGGGACACCATCTGAAACCTTCCAGCACACCTGGGCAGGAGGAAAGAGGGCAAGAGGAACTCATGGCTGTTAAGTACCTACTGGCCAGGACTAGTCATATGCCTCTTGCCCCAACTGTAAGGAGGCTGGGAAGTTTAGAGGAACACATAGATATTTGGTGATTAGTAAATGTCTCTGTCATAAAGTTATATGGAGCTCTTTGCCTCTTTTGTTTTTCCTCCCTTCCCCTTACCTCATCCTCTATAAGAAATCTAAGAAAAAGAGAGAATGCAGAGTGGAGCGGGAGAAGGAAGGAAACATACCAGAAGGAATTTATAGGATGCAAAATACCACCACTAAACTATTAACAAAACTATTAACAAGTACTGCTAAACAAAATCTATTAACAGATAACTGTAATAGCAGAGGCTTGCACTGTGTTTTTAACTTTTTTTTTCCTTTTTAATCAGCAATGATAAGGAAGCTAAACCAGATTAAGTGCTATCTTATTGGAGATACAAAGGCAAACAAGGGGAAAGAAGTGATTGAAGAGCACTTCAGAAAGCTCGGTGCATTCAAATCAGCAGGGCCTGATTACTCACTTTCCAGGGCACTTAAGGAATTGGCAGTGTAATTGCAAGACCACCAGCCTTTATTTTAGAAAAGGAAGATTGGATGGGAGAAGGTCCTGACAAGTGGGATCTGCAGATGGAGTACATTTTTTTTTTTTTAAACAGGGAAAAGCACAACCATAGTAATTATAGACTATTCAGCTTATCTTGGATACTGGGGAAGATACAAGAACAAATCATCAAACAATTTGCAACCACCTAGAAGAGCACAAGGTACTGGGTAGTAATCAGCGTGATTTTGTGAAGTACAAATTATGCCAGGCCAATTTAATTTTACCAAGAGAGAGTGACAAGCCTAGCAGAAGAGGGGAAAGCAATACCTACAATTGGACTTTAGTAAGGTCTTTTTCATTTGTTTTCTTCTGTTTCTTTTTTGTTTTTGTTTTTAAATTCCATCTCATGACATTTTATACATCAGCTCTCCAAAAGGATGTTACCTGGGTCAACAATTGGGAGGGACCTACTCTGGATGAGGCACTCAGAATAGTAAAAACAAAGATTCAGCTCCAGGTTATCACAGTGATTAGTCATAGTTATTGTTATTTTAATCAGTTAATGTGGACAAAAAAGATGATGTTAGTGGTGGAGATGCTGAGATACAAATAACATTCTCCACTACTGAGGGAAAGTATGAGAAGAAACAGGAGATACAAAAACCAGTCTAAGAAACCCAACAGCTAAGTAATACTGAATCCAGAAAGGGAGAAAATGGTGAGAGAGAAATTACTAGAGAAATTGTATAAGAAAATTTCCCAGAAAAGGACATACATGTTTATAATAAAAAAGGCCACTAAGGCTCAACTACAATAGATGGGGAAAATAACCCACTTGGATACAACTTTGTAAAGTTTTAGAAGTCTGAGAATCAATAAAACTTATAAAAGTTTCCAGAGAGAAAAATTAGGCCACCTACAGAGGAATCAAAATTGAGCAGCCAAATTCTCATTAACATCTCTGGCTGCTAGAAGATAATAGAGTAGTCCTTTTGATTCTGAGGGAAATTGAGTTTAAAACTAATTTCCCTAGTCAGCCAATGTATCAGTCAACTGTGAGAGTAAAATATAGGCATTTCACATAAACCAGCACTTAGAAAGTTTACTTCCCAGGGCTCATTTCTTAAGAAGCTACTTGAATATATATTCCATCAGAACTAGAAGGTTATCCAAGTAAGAAGAAAGCAAAGGTCCTAATACAGAAAACGCAAGTAGAGTATGATACAAAATCTTCCATTTTGGAGCAGGAGAATGAAGAGCTTCAAAGGGAAGGACTCTGGGGCGAAAGGGAACTCCCTACATTTCATAGTGAGAGTGAGAGAACAAAAAAACAAAAACAAACAAACAAAAAATTTGAGTGTTCCGGTAGAGTATGTATTTCGACAATAAAAAAGAGAGGCAATTAAGAATTTCAGAAAAAACAAAAAGCTAACCGAGAATGTTATGGTCTAGTTTTGAAGAATAATAAAATGTATGATTTTCAGTAATTTATGTACTGTAAGAGAAAGACTAGTACATGGTACTCAAACAGTCTCCTTTGAGTAGATAAGGGGTTATGATGTTGCCTTCATAGAAAGGGAAATGGCAATTTGAAAATGCTCCTTAGCTTGGCAGTGCACAATGTTGCTGAAGTCTAAATAACGTTAAGTACTTCGGCTTTAAACTCTTATAGTCAACCTAAAGACTAACCTAAAGAGTAAAGAATATCTTGGTTATGTTGCAGAAATTTAAAATAAAAGGTAAACATGAATCTTCATAATGTAAAAGTATAGCTAACAGAAGATGGGAAGTGGAAAATGAAGGAAATATGAAGAGAACAGTATGGCTGAAACTCTCAGCGTCTATAATGAGAAGTCAAGATGCTCAAGTTTTTAGAATGAGAAATTGAGGCATAATGTAATATTCAAAGTTACAAGGGTAACCACAACAGAACTTTAAAATAATAATAAAACTACCCAAAACTAGGAGGAGTTGGGAGGAAGAGGGAGATAGCATAAATGAACTAAATGCTCATCTTTTGTAATGGAGGCCATTCATAACCAAGAAATTGAAAAGGGGAATCATTTTCCAAACATCCCATATATGAAATTCAAAGAGTGCATTCATGAGTTATTTTTCACAGGCATACATGTAAGGTAATGGGGCACAACCTCAGAGCACAGGTATCAACAGTCTTAGTTTAGGGACACATTATAGTGCTGATGATATTGCAACCATGGCCTTTTTTTTTTCTATTCCGTTATCCATCCCCAGTTATAAGATTATATTTGCAAACTTAAAGTCATACCTGCTTTAATGCTTTTTAAAATTTTCTCAGAATGATCTCTAATGTTTCACTGACTATTCCCTCCAAAATTAATAGCATGGTATTTGGCCATGTGGCCTCTTTATGGTATTTTATTACATCTAATTTCTGTTCTCAAAGAATACATTCTCAGAATTGGGGTTTGCTCCCACTGAATGAAAACTTCGATGACCTTGTTATAGAATAAAAACTATTTAAAAATTATAACTCTAAAAATTAAAATAATATAAAAGTCACTTGAATCACTTCTGGTTGTTCCCGTGCATTTAAGTAACAGCATGGTTCACAGGCTCCTGTTAAGTGATGGCAGATGCAAGTAGAACTCTGTTGTATCTTCATAATTGAGGTCCAGAAAATTCAGTCGTGTAATGTGTAGGGCCAACTTAGTACAGATAATGAAATGACCAATGTGAGCTGGCTGCAGGAGGACCAGAGCCATCACCAAACTCGTCATACCCAAATTTCCATTGTCAAGGCGTGTATAATTACAGGTTCCACTGTACTTCTGATTACTGGCTTGAGTGGCATGCCACATAGCCACAGAGATAAACACAGTTGCCATACGCCCTGCCTGCTAGCTTTAAATTGTGCAGTTCTTGATTACTCTTGGCAAGAGTTAAACGATTTCAAATTTTGCACAAAATTGGTACTTACCTAATAGGCCAATTACACTATTTCAAATATTCATTATTCTAATTTATTTAAAATATGAGTATATTGTAAAAGAGCAGTATTTACTTTTTTAAATTAGGGGAAGTCAGGGGGGTATTGAAAATTAGAAGAACCCAAAGCAGAAATCTTGAAAGGAATGTTCACAGGACTAGGGCTGGGGAGGAATCATCATAACTTCTCTGTATCATTTGATCTATACTGTTCAGTTTGTTGTAAGGGACATTTACTACTATAACATAGCAAGTATTAAAGTAAGTAAATTCATAAAAACAGTAACAGTTGCCTCTTCTAATATTTCTCAAAGACTGGACCATGAAATACTTGTTAAAAATACAGAATACCTGTTTCCAGACAGAATCCTAATGAATTTGATCCCTTCTACTGGGGCCCAGAAATCTGCATTCGGACCATTGGCTTAGACACGGATCTTACTAACAACTCACTTGTACATCTTCTTCAAGTGTATTTCAGGATTGAACTTCTTGTGAAACCATCACATGCTGTATTGCCTTCTGCAGTCTTAACCATCTCCCAGCATCCTTCCTTCCCTTCCTTTATCACTAGAATAAAGAAGAAACCAAAACGACCTCACTCACTCTTTCTCTCTTTTTGCATATGGTCTTATGTAGGGCAACGGTTCATTTTAAGATCGTTTAAGCTGTACCACCTCTTGAACATGAACAGCTAAGGAAATCTAAGTGGTAAAACTCATGACAATGACTGGTTTCTTCATTATGTACGGAGAAAGATTTTGAGACTGTCTTTGTATCTTCCTTAGGTGCTAATCACTTTTTTCTCCTTCCCAGGGCTGCAGGAATATTGATCTCAGTGTTATTTTGACCATTAATGAATTATGAAGGCAATAAGCAGAGACACACACCTCCAGCCTCCTGGGAGCTTAACCTTCTGCTACAACGTTTGCATTTGTAAGTCAGCACCTGTGCAATCTATATTCTGACTATTTGTTATTCTCCTTTAATTACACGGTGGTGGTGGTCCATTTGTAGCCTGAGAGAAACCAACTGGAGAGTCAAAGAAATTATTAAAATATTGACTTTAAATTAAAGGGCCAAAAGGAAACATGGCTGGGTTTGTTCCTACTCATTCCAGTGTGATGGTTCAGGGACAGTTATTCCCTTTCACGTCAAGGGAAGTTGGGTCTAAAAAGTTAGTACAGAAATTCTACCTTAAAAGAATTTTTAACCTTAAGTATTTCCTGCGTCGCCAATATTTCTGTTAGCATTGGCTTTACCTCGTCTATCAAACACTGTTTTGTTTGGCAGGTGATACATTTTTACATCCTGTACTTCATACTTGGTCCTGATAAATCACTCAAGTTAGGGTTTGTTGGATGGTCAAGTTGTGGATGTTGTGGATGGTCAAGTCAGTCCCAGAAAACTTTTCCTTTTAGCATTTTGGTAACTTTTTATTTTGATACGATTTCAAATTTCTGTAAAAGTTTCAAGAATTGTACAAGACACCTCCATTTGCCCTTTACTGAGATTTATGTTTATTTGTATCTTGACCATTCACTACCTCTCTTTTCTATGAATCTATGTATATTATACACTCTTTTTCTTTCCTGACCCATTTGAGAGTAAGTTGAAGACATTGTGCACCTTTACCCTGAAATTTTGGCATTTTCCTTAGAATAAGATTCTCTTTAATAACCAATGTTGTTAGCAAACTCAGGTATATTAATATGGATAATAAGCCACAGTCCAAATTTAAATTCATATTTTCTTAATTGTCCTAGTGATGTTGCAATAATTAGTTATAAGCTGATTTTTACCCCAGACCAGGATCCAATCCAGGATCATGCATTGTATTGAGTTGTAATACCTCTTTTGTTTTCTTTATTCTGGAAAAGTTTCTAAGCCTTTGTCTTCTGAACTTGACATTTTTTAAAGAGGGTACTCCTTTTATTTTGTCTTTCTTTCTATTTTTTTTTCCCCTTTGGAGAAGGCTCATCATTCTGGGTTTGACTGGGATGTCCTCATGTTTAGACTTGGGTTAGGTATTTTTTGGGCAGAGACACCATTGAAGTGAGGAAGTGTCCTTGTCAATGTGGCATATCTAGCATACCTGATGTCCGTTTGTGATGTTAACTTCCATCACTTGGTTCAGGTGCTTTCTCCACTGTAAAGTTACAGCTTTTCTCTTTAAAAATTGCATGTGTTTTGTGGGGAGATACCTTGAGACTGCGTCAATATCCTACTTACAAAATTTTCTCTGACTACTTTAGCACCAATTGATGAAGGAACTCCAACGTTTCTTCTAGACTTACTAGTTGGCATTTTGCTGTGAGGAAGAGCTTGCCTTCTCCCCATTTAATTTTTTTTACTTATTTAAGTCTGAACTTACAGATTCCTATGTTATTCCTATGTTATTCCTATGTTATGTGAGTTACAATCTAGTACTGTCTTTTTTTATTTTGATGCTCAGATTTTTCCCAGATTTGGCTAGTGGGCAGCTCCGTCACCTGTTTGTCTTTTTGACGTATTTCCATGATGCTTCGAAACACTGCCTTACTTTCTATAGTAACTGGCTCATCTTGTATTTTTTTCTCTGCCTCCTCCCTAGAATTAACCATTTCTCCAATGAGCCCCCAAGTAAATTTTGGTAAGAAAATCAGATTTACCCTTTGTGCCTGCCCCTCCCCATTTCCCGTCACCTTTCAGCAACCTGTCCCATGTGTCCCTATTGTAACCATGAATTTTAGTATCTCTAGTTAGAGAGGAAATTCTGATAAATTTGTTTACCTTAAAATTGTTTGGGAATGACTGCATTACCTTTCTTAGAAATGTTTGTGTTTTCAAAGAGGAAACAAGTTAGAAAGCAATGCTCAATTTAAAAAAAAATATATATATATATATATAAATCATAGAATGTTACCGGTGAAGGAGACTTTAGATCACTGGGTCACAAACTCAGCCTCCTTCAGTGCCCTAGTAGTATGAACGTGCACGAAAGCCCAGTGGCGTCAGCAACAGAGTACAGACTGGGCTGAGCTGGAGGGTGCAAGCCCACCGAATGACATTTAAATTAAGATAAACAAACACTGAGCAGACCAAGCAAAATTTGTTTCTAATCCTTATTTGCTAGAGGACCTCCTGCTGATGACTTTTGTGTTAAAGTAAAACTAAACAGTGGTTTTAACACTGTGCCTGGAGGAGCTATCAAGATGCTTTATGGAACTTTCCTGGGGGTTCTGGAAACACTGTGGACCTCCCAATCCTCTTCAACCAGATTCACTTCCTTATTATCTGTTTGATGTGACAGGCGCCATGTGAGACTCTGTGTGAAGGAAGGGATCTGTGGATGTTGAAACAAGCTTGGAAAGCACTGATGTAGTCCAGCCACCTGATCATGCAGATTCTTGCAGATAAGCAGACTGAGGCCATCCAGGGACAACGGTTATTGCCGGGATCGTTAGTGGCAGAGTGAAGGCTGAAACCCAGACTTTCCGATGCTTGGTCCAAACTCTTTTCCCTGCACAAAGTTGCTTCACCTAATGAAGGAAAATCAGGTGCTAGTGAAGCAGGTTATCCTAATGTAGTACCCCACACACAGCAGGCTGTCTCTGAGTGAAGATGTTGATGTCCCTGGGTGACAGATCCGTTTGTATGCTCTGAAGACAAATATCCACCCTGTTCTAGAGCTCTAGAAAGTAAACATGTGAGTGAATATGCAGGTAGAAAATTCAGGTCATCAGACACCATAGTCACTGATTGACATGTTAAAATGATACTTTCATCCATAAGGAGATAATATTTCTAATAAATACACTGGTTAATGTTTCAAGTATATTCGTAAAACTCCTAGAAGATGTTCTGTTAATTGACAGAATATCAAAGAATATTTCCTTTTCTGTTCTTATGAAATCATCCATTTACTATGATAAAGTTTATTTCTCCAGTTAAAATTTATAAATTTTGAAGAAAATAGTAAGATTATTATAAATCATTACATAGACATCATAAATCATTTTAAAGACTACTGTTTTAGTTAATGTGGTATTCTACCGAAACTTCTAGTTTTATTACAGTATAATAATTAACAGCTGGCAAACTCTTACCTAAGGAATTTAGATTTTAAATTTTTAGCCTTTATCTATGCAGAACTGAAAACTGGAGTCATTATCTGAACGCTCTTGCTAGGCCAGTTCAAAATTCCTGCATCTCTTTTGTTTTTCAGTGAAACTGAACTTTATCTTCAATGGTCTGCTTTATTTTTCCCTGGGTGGTAAAAGTAGAAATAATATTTCTCCAAATTTTTAGAAGGAAAAGTATTTTAAAAATATATGTTAAATGTTGATACTTCTGACTGCTTCTAATATCCTGAGATGGTTAAAAGAGGACAAAGAGGGCTGGGAAACATTCAATTTAAAGTCTTTGCAAACTAGATTTAAAATAACGCTCATTTAAAATCTAAGATCAAATGTTCAAATATAATTTACTATTGGTAAATGCTATGTTGTTCTTGAAGCAAGCATTACGTCAACGTTTTGTGGATTATTTTCTTAAATTTTAGACTTGACCAATCATTACTTTCACTTTTTATTCTGTCATTATTCCCCTTTTTCTTATTTTGCAAGAGGAGAGTTTTTTTTTTTTAAAGGAAATACTAGACATAATGAATGAAAATGCAAACAGTCACATATTATTACTGAGCCTGACATAAACTGCATTGGCATTACTATCTTCTGCCTAATAAATACCTAAATATACATGCTTTCCTATTAAGATGTTTAAACTTGTGGATACTTATATTCTAATTAATGTTCGGATTTTTTTTTCCTATCAAATAATTTATCATTGGATTTGTCACTTTGCTAAGCCAGTTTCTTATTGGATGTGTCCGTTTTCCTCTCTTTTTATTAATTTTTGTCACCCCAAGACTGTATGCATAATTACTCTGTTTCACCAAGACAGAGTTATTAAATGCTCACAGAGGTCATGGATGTATCCAGTTGTTTGTTATTCTTTCTTTCCTTTCGTTTCCTTTCTCTGCCTTGACGTTATCTTTACCTTTTAAGAAGGCAGGTAATAGGGAATAGACTTTGTAAAATATGATGCCTGCCTCATGAGACTGTTGGGGGAACTGAATGAGATGGTGGATATGGAAGCTCCTAGCTTCCACAGCGTGACATCAGTACTTACTTTTACTTTTTGGTCCTTTAAGGAATCTTTGACAAGCCTGACATGTCCTCAGAACTGCTCTTCTGGACAAAATTTCACATTCAGTGAAATGAAAGCCTGTAAGTAACTAAGTCCAGCTCTTGTAGGGGTTACATTTAAATTAATAACAGGTAGATTAAGAGTTTTGCCACAGGTGGGAGCCAGACAGTGTGGTGTGAAGGAAAGAGCCTTGGTCATGGGACAAGGACTGCGACTCAGTCACTGACCTGCCAGATGACCTTAGTCACTTTGCCTTTGGGCTTCAGTTTCTTCAGCTGTGTTAGAGTGTGAATGATCTCCAGGGTGCTTGTGGTTCTAAAACTTGATTCTACAAATGCAGCACTTTAAAAAATGGATTTGTCCGTGTGGTGAAGAAAGTCCTGGAGGACGTACAGCACCTCACTCGTGCTGGGAGTGCCTGGGTGATGGCGCGAGGGTGGCCTTCTTTCCTCCATCCCTTCCTCTTCTCTTCCTCATCTGCCTCCTTCCCTTCTTCCCCCCCTTCCTGGTCTTATTTTTCCTTCCAACAATTACTTATAGCACCTTCCATGAGTCAGCCATTATATCGAGGCCTTGGGATAGAAGGATAAACAAGAATGTCTCAGTCTTGCATTTATGGAGCTAATAATCTTTTTATCTGTATCTTTTTTTCCATAAAAACTGTGAAACATTTAGAGAGCCTGAATGAACAGTACCTTGAACATCTGTATCCCCTAGATTTACCAACTGTTAACATTTTTCTCTCTCTCTCTGTGTATATACACAGATATGTATACATGTGTATACACACACACATTTTCCTAAACCATTTAAGAGTTGCAGACACTATGCTTCACCTCTAAGTAATTGAATGTACATCTCCAATAATCAGTACTCTCTTAAGTAACCATAATACTTTTACCACAGCTAACTTAGGTGAACCCCCACCCCCAAATTAGCACCAATCCTATAGAATTATATAATGCCTGTTCCATATTCAGATTTCTTTCTTTTTTTTTAAATTTTGATGGGGAAGTAGTTAGGTCTCTTTATATATTTTTAGAGGAGATTCCAGGGATTGAACCCAGGACCTCAGGCATGCTAAGCGTGTGCTCTACCACTTGAGCTATACCCTCCCCCCAGATTTCTTTAATTATTCCCAAGAATGTCTTTTATTGCTCTCTTCACCAAATCTGGGTTTACCCATCCAGGTTCAGACATTTTGTTTGGTTTTCATACCTCAATCTCTTTTAATGTAGAATTGTCCTTTATAAATGACATTTCTTTTTTTAATGACATTGACTTTTGTGCAAAGTCCAAGCACCTTGTCTTATAGAACATTCAGCATTCTGGATATCTCTGTTCCCTTATGGTATCATATGACTTATCTCTGTATTCCCTGTATTTATTGTAATCTAGAAGGTACGTTTGATTAGATTCATGTTAAAAGTTCTTGGCAAAAATATTTTACTGGTGGAATTGTGTCTCCAGTTGAAGTTTTCTAGAAAGATCATTTATGCTTATGATTAAGAAACAGAAATAAATTCAAATTTACATTATACAGTACATTGAAATATAGTAGAAAAAGCGTGAGTTTGCTAGCAGAGGCCTGGATTTGAGTGCAGATTCTGTTCTCTCTAGCAACTTGACCAAATTAACTAACATAGTAATTGAGCTCTCTGCAAAAGACCAGAGAAGACAGTCACTGAAATGTGCATGTTTGTCCCTCTGCTCCACTCCTCACTATTTGTGTAAAACTGAGGCTCTTTTATACTATCCCTCATCCTTGCCACCCTTCTCACCCCCACCCCAGGCTTCAGTGCCACCAATTCTCTGTGCCAGATGTCCTTCCGTGAGAAATCTGAAAAATCTCTACCTTGCAGGGTTACTGTAAGAATGAAAGATTAGGAATAATATGTGTAGAGTACACCACACAGAGTCTGCCGCATTGTTATATGCTCAGTTCACCACCACTGTTACCGTTCCTACAGCAGTAATGTGTAAGGAAGGGAGAGAGAATTTGAAAAGGGCCAGGGAAGTGGTATAGTCCAGAAGAGAGGAATATCCAGTTTTTAAGTGATGACTTCTAAAACCTTCCAAGAGTGTTTGTGCTTATGCAGTGACCTCCATAAAAGTTCAGCTGGGATGGTGCTACGACACAGTAATCATTAACATTTATGCAGCCCTTTACAGTTTACAAAGCACATCCACATTCATTATTATGTTTGATATACACCCTCTTTCACGAAGATCAGCTGTGCTTCATGCTTCGCCCAAGGACACTGCGTAATCAGTAGGGGAGCTCAAATTAGGAGTTCTGATTGTAGAACAGACTTCTTTTGCTGAAAATTTGCAGCCTGGAACAGACACCAAATGTCTCCTTTCCAAAGACCTGACCAAGGGACTCTTTCCTTATGGTGTAGGTTACTGAAGTGCTTAGTTTAAAGTTCTTTGAGTCTATTTTAGACCTACAGCCCCTCATCTGTCATCTTTTATCTGCATTGGGTGACATTTCCTGTACTGTCGTGTGTTGTTACTCAGCCAGAATGCTTTAGTTATTTCTTGCACTTTGCCCTAACAGAGAGAAGTGCCAGTTAATGAATCTGCATTAACACCATCACATGCATATTAAAAATGCATTTGAACCCTTCAGCTGGACTAACTTCCTTCCTAGCATTGTATAGCATTGGGCAAATTAAAGGCTCATCCAAAAATTGGCTCTTGTGTTTTGAATTGTTGTTGACCTAGATATTTTTCACCTGGTCCTGGTTTTTTTTTTTCAATAAGAAAATTATTACTATTTTAAACAAAAACTGACTTCTTTTGTTTTGCAAACTAGAGTAGCAGAAAACATCTTTGAGGAGATGACTTATTCTTTATAATTCAGTCTGAGGCAGTTTCTAGTTTCTTTTGTGATTTCTTCTTAGCATCACAAGATATTTAGAGTTGTATTTCTTAATTTCCAAATATTTGTGAACTTTCTAGTTAACTTGTTGCTAATGATATCTATACTTCTGTTCATGTTGACATTTTAGCATAATTCTGTGGTGTCCAGGGAACAGGTGCTGAAAGATTTCAGTCTTGTGAAAGTAGCTGAGACCTGCTTTGCTGTCCAGCATACATCAGTTTTGTAAGTGCTCCAGGTGCACTTGAAGATGGAAATGTTTTCTGTAGCTGTTGGTAGGAATGGTTCTTGTATATCAGTTACATCATGTGTTAATCTTGTTCAAATCATCTGTTATTTACTGATTTGCTTATTTTTCGCTTGACTGTTTGCTTACTCTACTATTTCCCAAGAGAGGTGTGTTAAAAAAAATTCTCACTTAAAGTATGAATTCATTTCTTTCTTCAGTTTTTGCTATATATATTTTTTGGAGGCAAAGTTATTAGGTGCATACAAATTTAGAATACTCTGTCTTGTGAATGTAACCTTTTTCTCATAATGAAGTGTCCCTATTTGCCTCTAGGGATACTTTCTGCTTCAAAGTCTGCTTTGATACTAATATAGCTGTATGTGTTTCTTCTGATTAATATTTGCACCCTTTTTTTATTATCATTCTTTACTTTTTTCTATCTGATTATTCTCACTCTATTTAATATTTCATGTGTCTCTCCTTAATATTTTGCCATATTTCCTTAACACATTTTTGCTCATCTTTTAAAATTAAATTATGGACATTGTGACTTTAGCATATATTCTCCCCAATAATCACCTAATATCATCTAATACCCAGTCTATACTCAGATACTCGCAATTGTTCATAAGGTGACTTTTATAACTGTGTGGGTCAATTGCATTTGACTGTGTGGCTCTTGGTTTCTTAGAATCTAGAGTAAGCTAACTTAATTGATGCACCGTTATATCAAGAGTGACTGTAAGGAAATGAAACAGACATTTTAAAGGTTATCCTTTAATATATATATAAGAAATACAGTCAATACATCCCATTTATAATAATAATCTGAAAAACACAGAATGTAGAAATGAAAAAATAACAAATATTTTTATATTTTCCACCGATTGTGAGCATGGCTATCTTCCTGGTATATTTATCTATTTCTGATTTTTGAAGAAATCTTAGTCTGTTTCACATTATATGCTAATTATAGAGGCTGAGAAGTGAAATTTCTGAAGCTAAAGGTGTAACCTCTTTTAAGACTTTCCAGGAAAGTGTTCCAAATTTCAACAGTCCCTGGGTGCCTAAGCTTACTGCACTAGAAGGGATGTCCTCTTCAAAATGGACACCACATGGGTAATTAGTTATCATGGATATTTAGTTATTGTGGAAAATTAGCTATCATACACCTGTAATGGCTACTTGTCTTTTGCCCACCTGTGATAAAAACTGAAAATGCCAGATACTTTCCCAGCCTCCCTTGAAGCTAAGTCTTTGACATATAACCTGGGATAAACCAGTCAAATCGCCCTCTTTCAGACTTTGAGGTTGAAGCCATTTACGCAAAAAGAGCAGGCACAGTGGAGAATCCCTCCGGGGGATGTAGTGGCAGCTGCCGGGAGCAGGTCAGCATCTGATTCGCAGTGCTGAGGTAGTAGCTCAAGCCACGCGGTCCAGCATTCACTGGTGGTGGCAGCAGCGTCCTCACCAGAAGGGCTCTGGCAGGAGTTGGACTGTGGTCCTGGCCATTGTCTTATTCTTTCCCATTCTTTGAGCCTGGTTGTCCAGCTTTCCCTGATCCCCTGTCAAGTCCCCATATCCTTTAATAAATTACTTCTCTGTTGAAACCAGCCAGAGTCTGATTCTACTGCTTACAGAAAAGGAACTCGACTACATTTCCTTGCAGGGATTCTCCCGTGTAGGGCGGGACCTGTTTCAAATGGCAGGAGAGTCAGTGTGTGCACAAGGGAGGTCTGGAGGAAGAGAGAGTGCTCAGCAAGTTAACTTCTCAGGACTGGGAGTTGGGAAGAGTCTGGCTGAAACTGGGTCAATATGGGAAGGAGGGCAAGAGCAGCTTCTTAAGAAGGTAACATGTGTCATTCTTGGGCACTTGGTCCCACTGTCAGCAGCGTGATTGCAGGGCCAGTTCAGGAGCCCAGCCCCTATAAATGTGACACCAGAAATGTTAGGCCTCCAGATGGATA